AAAAAAAAAAATTACTAAACTTAATTTCAATTTTTGGGATTAGAACACAAGTGGGTCAACTCGAACATGACAGGTTAGAGTTGAATATTTGGCACAAACACTAAATGACACAACAAGAACACGACCAACAAACATGGATTGCCACCCCTACCTATGTCAGGCCAAAAGGAGAATCTTACCTATGCCTTCTCGAATAGACAGATTTGGTCTTATGATCTCTTTGGAGTTAACAAGAAATATATCGCCTATGTATAGATGATTTGTTGGGACAAAAACACTACACAACTCCTCATCTTCATTATCTCTCTGCAGAAAAACCAACAAGAAAACCAAAGATCAGCAACCGATTGATGCATCAAACATAAACACAATGCACTTAACATGATTCAGTGGTGAAGTGTTTATGAGTAGAAGTGCTTTCTAGAGAAGCAGTCCCACACGAGCCCTTAGAGTCTATGAGAGAGAAATGGAAGAAGATTAATCATAATCCAGTTATGTCTTTATGGCTGGATTAAATGCTCTTCATTTTATAGAAGAGCTACATCAAAGACCTCATATTTACCTTTAGTTTTAAAAAGTTCTCTTCAATTCATTTGTGTCTTTTAAAGAGTCTTTATTAAAGTTAAGTGTCTTTTAATTCTAGTAATAAAGTCTTAGTACGTGTATTTAGTAATCAAGTCTTGGTAAATGTATCCAGTAATAAAGTCTTGGTGCATGAATTTAAAGTCTTTGTATTTGGGTATAAATATATGTAAGTGCCTTGAGCAATGGCAATGAACTTTGATGAATAAATTCAGTTATCAGAAATTTTCTGGTTTTCTTTCCTGCTATGGGAATTTTGGTGTGAAGCCACGTTTTTGGTGCAAAGCCAAGTTTGTCCTTATCTTTATTATTAAGAGGTTTGTTGTTTAACTTCCATTATTCTTTCAAGTAATTGTTTCCTTGTTGATATTCCAGCCCATTCTTCTTTCATTGCCTTGTTTCTAAACTTGTTTTCATTGAAGCCTATGGAATTTAAGACTTAGCATTAGACTTTGAACACGCCCGAAGAATCTACACAATTCTTGAAATCACTTTAAATTCTAGATTTTGAGGAACATAATGCGGGCAATAAGGTTGACTAGTTTCATGTCTATTTCTTACTGTGAATTCCTTGTTTGTTGAGGGTGTTGACGCCTGGTAAAATTTAAAAGCTTGAGTTAATTCTAAAATTGATCTTGGTACTAGTTAACTCATATCCTGCATCAATTAAGCTTAATGTCTTGTATGCCAACAAAGTAATCCAACACTACAAGTAATTAATGCGGCCTTCACTATGAAAGTTCAGGGGAAAAAGAAAAAACAGAACAATAACTCACTTAGGACTCAGGAATGACAGCCCAACAAATAAATTTGGAAGCAAATTATTTTCCTGGAATAAGCCATGCATGTGAAATACACAATACCAACAGCAAGGACAATAAGCATTTTGATTCAAACAATTAGAAAAAAAAAAATACATAAAAACATAAAAAGAGAGAACCTGAAGGGTGACAGTTGATGTAATAAACCCAAATGCATATTCGCCAACACGTGGGTGACGGATAATTGCCACCTCTTTAAAAGCTGTGGTATTTTGGTCTGCAAGGAAAATTGCCAATTTGAAGAATATTTATAAAATTACAGAGTTTATATCACTACATTGAAAGGAAACAAACAAAATCAGACCATAAGAGTATCTAATATCCACAAGATGGACTTGGCAAAATATGGAATATACTAAAAATGTTGTTCTGTTTACATACACATTTAATGTCTCATTTTCTTTTCTTTTCTTTTTTTCTTAAAACTGTTTTTCAAGCTCTTCGGGTAATTTGCTTGAATCTGTTATAAAAGAAAAATAGGTCAACCTAGCATACGCCTCAATCCCCAAGCTCGGAACAAGTTGCAAGGGCAATTTAAAATGCTTACAAATTAAAATGCTAAAAACATAGACAAAGGGCATATACTACGTTATCAACAAACTTAAAGACTTTCCACTTGAACAGTGTAAAAAATTCAAGCCAATAAGCTGCAATAACTTATATAACACTAATATCAATTAATTTTCATTCACTTAAAATTCAGTATTACATTGAATAAAATTTTATTTATAACACTGCCTCAGCATCAAGTGACTGGTCTTGACATGGAGAAGTCGTCCTGGAGAGCATGGTCTCACAATGGTCCAACTCACCAAGCCCACATCTCTTGACTCCTGGTCTGTCATGGGTGGAGATGGAGGGATGAGGGAGAAGGGAGGGAAGGAGCGATGGAGGTGGATACCATGAGTTTTTTTTTTCTTGTTAATAAATTTATTTATTTTTTAATTTTTATTAAAAACACTGGATTCTTTTTCTTTTATTGGTTGTTTGTCCACATGGCATAACCATCATGAAAGGTGTGGGGTCCAGCTATGCCATGTAAGGAAAATTCGTTAAGTTAATGTGTAACAGAAGGCTAAAATTCAAACCCAACAAAAACTTTATAGCCTAAATTGCAACGTTCTGGTCTGTCATGGGTGGAGATGGAGGGATGAGGGAGAAGGGAGGGAAGGAGCGATGGAGGTGGATACCATGAGTTTTTTTTTTCTTGTTAATAAATTTATTTATTTTTTAATTTTTATTAAAAACACTGGATTCTTTTTCTTTTATTGGTTGTTTGTCCACATGGCATAACCATCATGAAAGGTGTGGGGTCCAGCTATGCCGTGTAAGGAAAATTCGTTAAGTTAATGTGTAACAGAAGGCTAAAATTCAAACCCAACAAAAACTTTATAGCCTAAATTGCAACGTGGTGTCAATCGTCAAAGGTGTGGGGTTCATCAATGATTTCTATCTGAGCCTAGATGTATATATTTAAGACTTGCAATTCTCATTTCAATTCACAACTTTCTGCTGGAAATTTATCATCATCTAATATATAGGCTGGCATTGATTTATGTTTAATGTAACCCTCTTTTTGAGTCTAATTTGTTGATTTTCTGAGAAATCATAATTCTTTATTAAGAACAATCCCTGTGTACTTGAGTTTCAACAAGTATAATTGCTTATTTGGACATCCCATGCCAACTAAAACATGTGTTTTCCTCCAGCTCCTCAACTAGTATGTTTGCACAAGTTCTTGTTCATATCTGAATCCCTTATTGCAACAATATGTATGCAGGGACCGAGTTTTACAGAAAATAAATAACTGTTACCTGGAGAAATTGCAGCACTAATTTGTTTGGAGGCAGAGTAGATATGCTTAACAAAAGGCATTTTCTTTATGATCCATTCTCCAAGCGAGAAAACAGTGGCACCCATCCACGATGAAACAAAAACGCCAACAAAGAATACAAAAAGTAAGGATGTGACAAATCCAAGTCCTGCATCATAAACTAAGCACCTTGAGAGAGAGACACTGAAGCAGAATATGGGCAGTACAAAATCAAAATTTAGAGAATATGCATTTAGTAAGGCTGCTAAAACAAAAACTGTGCAAGTTTCAATAAAAGATGCAGCATATGCTTGCATTGAAAAAATCAACAGTTTTCGAAAAAAAAGAGAATCTTTTGTACCATTGGACACATTAGGAGGGCAGTCATTACAAGCTAATATTTCTAATTGAAGCCTGTTGAGTGATAAGCAAGAGAAACCCCCACCCTTTCCCCTAAGTTGAAAGTCAATGCAGTGCACTGAGCACATCATCATTACATTCTCCAAATCCCACAACTGTTGAGTGATAAGCAAGAGAAACCCCCACCCTTCCCCCTAAGTTGAAAGTCAATGCAGTGCACTGAGCACATCATCATTAAATTCTCCAAATCCCACAACTACCAAGGTCTCTTACCAACTTAGCACTACAACTTAAACCCTTCAGTTTTATGCAGCTGCAATTGTTCCTACCACACTAAAGCTCCATCAGTAACTGAACACTTGACCATTAAGCCTCATTAAGCACATGCGGACACCTGAACTATGGGGTTAATCAAAGATTAAAAGTTCCTATCGCAATGGACAAGCAAATGTTCATTCTTCTTCGCACTTTCTAAAACCTGTTGCATTATCTTTGGGCAACATTCCTACCTTAAAAATGAAAATTCATGTTCAGTTAAAGAAAAAGGCCCCAATTTTGCACTGCCTACGAGCCTTTTCTTTTCTTCTTTTTTTTGGCTAATCATTTCTTATGAGTTACAACCTCTAAAGTTATTAACAAATGCCAAAAAATAATTGTAGATATTTAAGAAAGCAGTCATTATTATCATGTTTACCTCACTTAATAAGAGCGGGTTCTCAAAAAAGGCCATTAGTAATGCATTTAGATCATACCGAAGATGTCGATGCCAAGCTGAGCATAGAGTGGACTGAAGAAACCATCAACAAACTGAATAAACCACCATGTAACAAAGAACGTAACAGCAACAGGAAAAAGAACTACACTGCAAGCAATTGAAGAAAACAATAGGCTTAGAAGATCATAAAAAAATGATTGAGAAATAGAGCACTTAAAAGCTATGGCTAAACTTTTTACCATCCAGTCATAAACTTCTTTGAGACCCAACTTTGGAGAACAAAGCAGCAAGCCTGAAAATGGTCAGACACAAATATTAACGTAGAACAAGATGCTACTTAGATTGTTACATTTGACATAACAAAAATTGGGCATTCCCTGCAAATGATAGATGGAACTTCGAATTGCAAAAATTTCCACTATTATCTGAGTGGAGCTGACATGGAACCCATGTGGAGCCCATTGTTGAGAATCCCACATTGAAACTACAGTAGGTTCCTTAAGCTGGGTTCATGCGACATGTTTTTGAACTAAACTTCCTAACTATAACAAAATTAATGGCCCTTTTGGATGGAATCATTCAAAATGACAGAACTAAATTTAAATTTTTAAAAGATCTTGCCTATTGGACTTCATGAGTACAAATTTCATATGTTGAAAAAATCCATTCCATACATATATTTCATTACTAAAGAAAATAAGAGATTTCAAATACTCAAAACCAGAAGTGTTTAAATAAAGAATGGTAGCAAAGTACCCACTAGTGTAGTGGTTTGGAGCAAGTGCTCCCCCCAGGAAAGGTCCTGGGTTCGAGTCCTAGCATCTGTGTAGTGTGTGTGAGTTTAGTTTACTATCGCCCCTCTCAATAGGAAAGGTCCTAAAAATAATAAATAATAATAAAAATTAATGAAAGGTATATATATTTCATTAAAATAAAGAAGAATAAAACCCAAATCAAAATCCATCGGATAAATGAAGGATATGGATCTAAGGACAGTCTAAATTGTTTGACAAATTTTTTGTTCTAAAACTAATGTTTATATTTGATAATTCAAGAAATAGAAGGACTCCAAATACTCATGAGAAAATATCATTTCAAATCACCCTTTCTCCTAAATAATCCATGTGTGTGCGGAATTAATTAATCCAATAAATTGATATTTTTAAAGTCCAATTAAGTAAATCATCTGATCCAAATAAACACTAATCTTCGTGATTCCTTGATTGACAGAATCAATTATGTGGTGCAAAACCAAATATCTCCCCAAAATCCCATTGCCAAACCCTAGATAAAAGTTTTCATGGATTGACAGTAAAAGAAAGTCATGGATTGAAAAAAAGTTGCTTTTTGGCCATTTTTCAAAACAAAAAAAAGTGAAAATAAGTGCATAAACTCCTATTGAAAATGTTTTTTTTATAAATAAAAATAAATCATACTAATAAAGTGCATAAGCACTGAACAGGAAATACAAAGTCGTTAACTGCCTAATTTGGCCAACCATTAATTTACCTAAACTCGGACATATTTAAACCAGACCTCGCATGCAATATCTAATATTTAGATCCGTGCATTTGAAAGGGAAAAGAATGGAGGGCGGAGATTGAGCCAGACCTTACGAGTAGAGGAATTGGGGGAGCTTGGAGGAGACTTGGCTGGATCTTCGGGATCCAGAATACCATTCTCAGCCTGACTCAGAGGAACCGACGATGACTCTTTATCTTCGGCCATTTTGTCTCAGTTTGCTGAGGGCACTTGAGAGAGAGAGAGAGAGAGAGAGAGAGAGAGAGAGAGAGAGAGAGAGAGAGAGAGAGAGAGAGAGAGAGAGAGAGAGAGAGAGAGAGAGAGAGAGAGAGAGAGAGAGAGAGAGAGAGAGAGAGAGAGAGAGAGAGAGAGAGAGAGAGAGAGAGAGAGAGAGAGAGAGAGAGAGAGAGAGAGAGAGAGAGAGAGAGAGAGAGAGAGAGAGAGAGAGAGAGAGAGAGAGAGAGAGAGAGAGAGAGAGAGAGAGAGAGAGAGAGAGAGAGAGAGAGAGAGAGAGAGAGAGAGAGAGAGAGAGAGAGAGAGAGAGAGAGAGAGAGAGAGAGAGAGAGAGAGAGAGAGAGAGAGAGAGAGAGAGAGAGAGAGAGAGAGAGAGAGAGAGAGAGAGAGAGAGAGAGAGAGAGAGAGAGAGAGAGAGAGAGAGGCTGAGGGCACTTGAGAGAGAGAGAGAGAGAGAGAGAGAGAGAGAGAGAGATTTTGCTAAGAATTCGGGGGAAGGAATTGAATGCGATTTAGGTGGGAGTGATGATGATTTCGAGGGAAATTGGTTGGCTATTTGGCTTGTGTGCTTGTTTTTTCCCTATTTTTTTCTTGAATATTTGGATTTGTGTATTTTTTTTTGGTCAGGTTTGGATTTGTTTTTGTTTGGATGTAGTTGAGCAGACTTGATGTTAAAGCAACTTCTATAGTACTCGACCAAAAAAAAACTTCTATAGTACCAAATGAAGAAATGCCATGTGGCATGTGGGATTGACTCTTTTCCATTTTTCAATTTTTTTTCCTTCCGAAAGTATTGGTCTCTCTCGCAAAATTATATACATTTTGAAAGAATTTAAGGCACATGTAGACCATAATATTGAGTTGGTCTAGTATATACTCAATCAGAAACATGATTGTGGATCTCATGATTGTCATAAGAACTTAATGAGGAAATTCAATAAACAAAATACGCATCTTGATAATTTGTACAGAGATCCTTATTTTTTTTTTATTAGTGTACATATAAGATGAGTATGCGCACTGTTAAAGCATCTTCGATGTGTCAAAAGTGCAACATAGATATTTAACGGCTAGAAATAACATCTCACATCACTCCAATCGAATTATCAGAGCTAATGTGTAATGAAGGCTAAACCTCCAACCGTTACTTTTGACATCCCAAAAACAAGACATCAAATGAATATTTTATTAATTTTGGAAGACAACTAGCTGTTACTTTCATTATTATTTTCCTTTTTCTTTTCTTTTTTCCTTCTATCTTGAATGATTTGATTGTTACAAATTTTTTCCTTCAACTTATTTCCTTTACTGTTGTACAATTTTTCTTTTAACACGCAACCCTTTCCTCCTATCGTACATTTAATTTTCATTTATAATACACCTCTTTCATTTCAGTTTCTTCAAAAAGCAAAAAAAAAGAACTTATATTTCAATTAATTGATTGCCTTGTAGTATTTTTTTCTTTTTCAATTAATTGATTGTCTTTTAGTATTTTATTTTCTTTTTAATTAAAAATATAAAAATTATATTCTAAGAAGTAATAAATAAATCAACACTAAAATATAATAAAATAATAATTTAATTTGACATATCGGGTGAAGTGTTAAACTGCGTAAGATGTCAAATTGCCACATCAACCATCAAATTTAAATTTGATGTTCAGTATTTGACATCTCCCTTGGATCCATTTTCTAGTGAAACCCATAAGAAATTACCACCTATCATGGTAATAAAATAGAAAACTACTTCACTTTATTTGACCAATAGGATTGTTTCCAAATATTATTTATTAAACCCAAATAATTCATGTCACATTGACCGTACCATATGGGCCACATAGAATATTATAAGAATATATATTCTTACAATCTCCCACTTTGCCCATACGACAAATATGGTTCATGTTTTAAAAAATAAGTAATTAAATGCACAATAAATTTGAAAGAATCCCTAATTTCAAATGGTCAACATAAATACCGATTTAAGCAGTTGTCTAATGTGAGTCATGGCGGAGAAACTTTCACCCTCTCTCCTAAAAAACCCTTCTAGAGTTGTTTTCACTTTGAGGGGGGAGGAAGCCACTGTTCTTCCTCCCTATCTTCTCCCCTTGTTTTCAGAGACAAAACGTTTTCCTTATTTGTCTTCGTTTTGTTATGATTTTCCTTCAACCATCATAGGAGGTTGTGTCTCGGCATCCTTTCGCCCTCTCTCCTAAAAAACCCTTATATAGTTGTTTTCACTTTGAGGGGGGAGGAAGCCACTGTTCTTCCTCCCCTTTCCCCTCTTCTCTTCCTCCCTCTCTTCTCCCCTCATTTTCAGAGACAAAATGTTTTCCTTATTTGTCTTCGTTTTGTTATGATTTTCCTTCAACCATCATAGGAGGTTGTGTCTCGGCATCGGATCTCCACCACCATCCTTTTAGTGGTTTCTTTATGTTCGGAATAAGTCACAGAGATTCTTTGGGTTCTCTTTGCAGTTTTCACCTCTCCTTTTGTGAGAGCTTTTCATCTCTCCTTTGTGAAAGTTTTATTTGTATTGTTATGGCTTGGTTTTGTTCAAGCTTTATCTCTTTTTGATTATTCTAAGTTTGCAATCTTAGTTGGGATGCCTATGATAGAGTTTCTTCGATCTTGCGTGATCGTTAGTGGAGGCACACCAAATTGTCTTAATTTTGATGTTAGACCGCTCCGTTATTGTAATGGCCCTTTGTGGCTAGTTTGTATTGGCCCTTTGTGGTTAATGGCTTTTTTGGCTGAATTATTAATGCAATCCTAGAATTTCACAACAACAAAAAATGTGAGAGTCATGGCGGTTATACATTAATAAGCGACATAATCCCTCCATGTACCACAAGCAAATCACCTAAAACAATCCATAAGTCAGAAGTATCGTAAAAGGTCTCATAATATCTTGTTGTTATCATACACATATAATGGAAAATATGAAATATTATAAACGAATTCAATTATTAAGCTCAAATTGTCAAAGAAAATAAACTATCAACGTGCAAACCACAGACTAACTATTATGGACTACGACTAAGACCAATTCTTACAACATGTTCAATAAATGTCTTTGGTCCCAACCTTTTTGTCAACGAGCACTACTACAAAAATTGAAATAGATGGCAGGGAAAAACTGTTGTTTTTTTTCTTAGAAAACCGTCATTAAATCGACCACGAATGTCAAACTACGTCACCGTCGTCTATTAATTGTAAAGATGACACTTTTACTATAAACTTTCATTTATTAAAGGCAAAGACGACGATTTTGTTAAACCAATCATCGTCTATTAATTATAAACATGACAGTGTGTTTGAAAGAACCGCGGTCTATTAATTGTAAACACGACAGTGTGTGTGTTTGAAAGAACCGTCATCTATTATATCTAAAGACGACATTTTTTGAAAAAAACAGACGTCTATTAACTCTAAAGGCGACGACTCTGTTGAAAAACCCATTGTGTATTATCTGTAAAACTGACATGATTTTACAATTTAGTTTTTTTTCTTCAATGATTCTGTACAGCTATTACCCAAACCATACATATATATACTCAAAAATTATTTCTTTCATAAAACTAGAAGATTCAATAGTAATTACATAGTTTACCATTCTTGATTCCAACTAAATCCATACAAAATACCATATCCATAGCATTATTCCTACCACATCGATAACATTAACCTAATTGGAAATCTTATCCGAATATATTAACAGATCATCTCCCACAAAATTTGTACTTGTTCTCCATATTCAGCTGTCATCTTGGAGTAGTTTTCCCAATCATCTTGGTTAAATGGATCTTCATATTGTATGTTTTATATGATCCATAAAAAAAAACAGATGCAACATCCATTCCAATGACAACCTGTAGACAAAACAACAAGAATTATCCCTCAATATACTCTTGCAATATCATCAAATTGTCTTTGTACAAAAACTTTGGTTTGAAAATAAACCTACTTTGCATGTGTATCCAGCCTTCTCAATAGATGTCTTGAGCAATTCAATACCTTCTTTGTTCTCCTGAATTCACACAAAAAGGATGATGATTTCAATAGACATATGTGAAAGGAATAACAAAGAATAATAGTAATTTCAGTTAAATAATTAGATCGTTAACCGTGAATATTGGGCACAAAGGAGCTGAAAGATGAGCCAAGACATCCCTCTACATTATGACGCAAAGTCAAAAGTGTTTCAACAAAAGATTATCAAGCTTTAACTTGTATAACCCATCTATTAAAATACAAGAACCAACAAAAGAGCTATTCTTAAATAAACTAAAACATCAATTACCAAACTTAAAAGAAAAGCCATCACGGTCAAGTGATCAGTGCATAATTGTATACAATTTTGTATCCTTTTAACTTATGATTTCGTTATGTTTTTGAGTTAAACTTGTGCTTTTAATCCCTTTTGTGTTTGTTTTAGTGTATTAAGCTTTAGGACTCATTTAATGCATTTTGGAGTCAAGATAGCTTAAAACTGTGTTTGCAGATCAGTCAACTTCACGGATTGGACTGTACATGGTCAGGAAGAATCAACTAATGCGTCATACACCATTGGAAATATATGGAAGTCTAGTTTCTGGAGCACTTTGCGGTTCATGATTCTGAGTCTTCTAGAGGAAGTTATGGATGTTTTGGCAGCATATGACAGCTTAAGGTGAAATTCTGCAGCATCTGCGTGCCAAAAATGATATTTGTGCCAAAAATAATATGAATATCAAATTAAATGAACAACAACAATGATGAGTAGCAGAAAAATGATATTGCCTTCATTTATAGTATAACATAAATGGCAGTGAAATGCATATATCTAAAATACTTTCATTCAAGTAATCCTTGTATGTCATCTGGGAACACATTTGCATAGTTCCTGACCACCGGAATATCCTGCATCTGACTCTCTTCCTTCTTGGCCTTAAACACGTTGGCTAAGAAGCCCACACACCCTTTCGACAACAACTTCTTCGCCTGTAATGATGATATCACCCTTGGTAGTGATTGCACTCTAGCACCAACAAAACAAAACTCAACTTCGTTGGTTGGTTGGAAAACAACCTCCTTCTCAAAGCACTTCACCATGATGCTGTGAGGGACAACCAATCCATTACTAGAATAACATCATAATCATACATATCCATGATCACCAAATCCACTCCAAGTTCCCTATTCGCTTTAGTCATTGCACAACCTTTTAGCACCTCCTTGCAATTCAACACCTCCTCGGAAGGGGTGGCCACATAAAACTCTAATTCTAACTTAATAGGCATACCACTAATTTTTCTAGCAAATCTAAAGGATACAAAAGAATGTGTAGCTCCAAGTTGTCCAAATATTGGGATTGTACCTGCCACCACAGTTGCTGCATCTTCCGCCTCGTTCATAGTTAGGGTGTAAACTCATTCTTGTACCCTTCAATCCTTATGTGTTCCCCCTTGATCTTCTCTAGCATCTGGGCAGTTTTGTATGAAATGTCCAGTCTTTCCACACTTGAAGCATGCCCCAGTCTTCTTATGGCAAGTTCCCCATGATTCTTACCACACGTGTCACAGGTTGGGATGCCCCAATTCTCTATGCCACCAACTTTTGTCTTTTTGCCTCCTCTATTCCGATTATCATACCC